GGGGAACACCCCCGGTTGCCACACGCCGGGGAGAGCAGCCCAGCAGAGCCGAGGGGACCCCGGGGGCTGGGAGCCGAGCCCTTGGTCAGCCTGGGCCACGCAGAAGGTCACCCGGGCGGCGTGAGGAGGAGCGTCGGGGTTGGGGGGGGGGAGCTGATCCTTCCCCTCAGCGCAGGGAAGGCCGTGTTGGGGTGCTCCGTGGGCTCCCCAGCACTTCCCTTGCTGAAGCAGGTCCGCAGAGCGAGGGGCCGTGAGGCTGATGGAGAGACTGGAGGGCGCGACGTGCGAGGGGAGGCTGGGGGGGCTGGGACTGCAGCCTGGGTGCCACCGGGTGCCTCCGGGGGTTTAGATTGGATATTAGGAAAAATTTCTTTACTGATAGAGTGGTCAGGCATTGGAACAGGCTGACCAGGGCAGTGGTGAAGTCGCCATCCCTGGAGGCATTCAAAAAATGTGTAGACGTGGCGCTTCGGGTCATGGTTTAGCAGGCATGGTGGTGTTGGAGTGACGGTTGGACTTGATGATCTTAGAGGTCTTTTCCAACCTATGATTTTGGAGAAGAGGAATCTTGGGACAATATTTTCGATGTATATGAATACCTGATATAGGGGAGTGTAAAAAAGATGGAGTCAGACTGATCTTGGTGGTGCCAGTACAAGATGCAGTGGGCACAAGCTGAAATATGAGAAAGTCAGCTTAAACATGAGAAGAACATTTTCTGCTCTGGGAGCGATCAGGTTCTGGAACGAGCAGTTGGGCAGGTTGTAGGGTCTTCAGCCTGGCTGAACGAGGACCTGAGCAGCCTGCCGCTGGTGACCCTGTGGTAGCAGGCTTTTGGCCTAGAAGGTCTCCAGAGGTCCCTCCCAGCCTCCGCTGTGCTGCAGGTCTGCCGTGTTCCCTCGAGGTTCGGGCAGTTCCGTACCTTCCCATTCACTGATCCCAGAGGAGAACTTGGTGGGTCTGAGTCTGGTAACTTCTTTTTTAAATTGGTCACTGTGTTGTGGTGTGCTGTGCTTTGCAAAGCTATCCCAGAGTCAAGATTAGTTTAGCAAACAACTTCTTAAGCATTTGATTATTATAGTAATAGATGTGTATATACAATGTGTACATATAGAGTAATATATTGACAGTTGTGTATTAAAAAAAAAGCATAGAAAATACTGTGAAATGGAATTGGTGGATGATGAGAAGCAGTATGTGTTAACTTCTTTGACTTGTCAAGATCCAGATATTCAAGTTCCTGGTTCCTAACTTCCCTGTCTGTCCTGGGGAGTGAATAGTTATTGGAATCATTGCTAATTACTCTTAAAATTGGATCAATTTGCCATAAAACTTGCTTGACACCTTTGAATAGGGACTAATTGTGTTTAACAGAGGAAAAAGTGGGAACAGCCCAAACAAGCAAATCCTACGAAACAGGGGAATCCTCTTTGCTCTCAGACTTTCCCAGTTGAATCTGCAGCTGGGACGATACATCCCACTATTGAGATGAGTGTTTGTTTCTAGATCATTTGTATGGTTCAGCATTTTTCTTTGTCAGTATAAGTTATTGAGGCAAATTCAGATCTGAAGCAAGCGGCAAATCTCATGAGCGGGCAAGATTGAGTGTTTATACAGTTGATGTCAGTTGAGGGAAGTTCTGTTACATGTCTGACTGGCTGGCTTAAAATCCGTGGGCATACTTCTGAGAAGGATAATGACGATAGGTCTGAACTGCTGCGTGGAAAAAGGAAGTTCTCAAGATCTTGCTGTTTATTTTTCCGATGTGCTTTTTTTCCTCATTTATCTTCTTTTAAAAATTCAAATACTTATTTAGATTAGACTTTTTTTTTTTTTAACCAGCAGGAGAAACATTTAATTTGAAAGAATTTCTGTGCTTTTACTGTTAGTTAACATTTTGATTATTTTCATTAAAAAGTTAGTCTTTTGATATATGCTGCTACCTATGATTTCTCCATGTGAGGAACATACTTATTTTGGTTGTGTTGTGATAACGGGAACAATACTCTTCTGCCCAGTGTAAAATTAACTTATGTCATCTAGGCACGGAAGGTCCTGGCGTTGGTGTCTCAGAGGAGAGACAGAGTCCTGCTGAGAGTAGTGGCATAACTGTCATCTATAATCCTTATGCTTCCCTTTCTATTGAACAACAAAGACAAAAACTCCCTGTTTTTAAGGTACAGAAGTTCTTTCTGGCATATGAAATCTGTTGTGTGGTATCTGGCTCTTACATCTTTTTTTTTA